TCTATGGATTACGACAAAGCTTTATTATTTGTCTCAGGGATACATAATGTATCAAATTATGTTTTCAGTCTTCCTCCCCCGAAGACACCGGTCGTCTTTCGGATTATAATTTCAGTCTTCCTCCCGCGCAGATCTGTGTGACTGTCTGTGTCTGTGTCTCTGTGTGTGTGCATATGCGTCTATGGGATATTAAATTATCTTTTCAGTCTTCCTTCCCGGAAGATAGCCTACCTGTATCTGTGTTTGTGTCTGTGTCTGTTTGTACATGCGTCTATGGCATATTAAATTATGTTTTCAGTCTTTCTCCCCACCAGATCTGTGTGTCTGTCTATGTCTGTCTGTGTCTGTGTCTTTGTGAGCATATGCGTCTATGGGATATTAAATTATGTTTTGAGATTTCCTCCATAGCAGATCTGTGTGTCTGTGTTTGTGTCTGTGTTTGTGTGTATATTATACGTCTGTCTATGGGGTATTAAATTATGTTTTCAGTCTTACTCCCCACCAGATCTATGTGTCTGTCTGTGTTTGTGTCTGTGTCTGTGTGTATTAATATGCGTTTATGGGATATTAAATTATGTTTTCATATCTTTCTCCCTGGAAGATACCTGTATGCGTGTCTCTTTGTCTGTGTTTGTGTCTGTGTCTGATTGTATGTGTCTAGTCTATGTATCAGTGTATCCCTGTATGTTGCATCTGTGTGTCGGCGTGATTGTGTGTCTAATTGTGTGTCTGTGTATCTGTGTGTCTGTGTGTCAATCTGTGTGTCTATCTGTGTGTCAATCTGTGCGTCCATCTGTGTGTCTGTCTGAGTATGTGTCTGCTTGTATGTCTGTTTGTTTGTCAGTGTGTCCGTGGATCCAGGTGACAGGACAAGCGAGGAAGTCACGTGACCTGCCAACTCCCCACACCCACACACTCCCCCCTCCCCCCACACACAACCACACACTACCCCCAGACCAACACACAGGGGGTTTTCTTTCGCCCGTGCGCTGCACAGTTGGATTCCGACTTGGCCTACACGAGCTAGTTCTTGACTGTACTGTAAATCTCAGAGTGGGTTGTGTTTGTGAAAAATCTTGTTCTTCCTCTTATTCTTTTTAATTTTAAT